CAGTAGCATGTGTGCTCTGCACATGCTTAAGGAGCCAGGGACCACCCCACCGCCCACCTAGTTCTTCAATCTGAAATATGTATTAACAAATAATAATGGGTGTTGCTGCTCAAGAAATCTAGAAATCAACTGGCTGACTTATCTGACTTTCCTCCAAGCATAACTGGCTGTTGAGCTCAATGGTTAGGGACGTGGGCTCTGGGGTTGGGCTGCCTGGGTTCAAGCCTCACCATTTTTATTTTCTAGCTCTGTGTCTGTGTGTAAGTTCTTGAACCTCTCTGAGCCTCTATACTCATCTATAAAATACAGAAAATTCCTACCTTTCTGGTCGATTGTGCAGATTAAATGAAATAGTGCTTTGAAAGTGCTTGACACATGCTAAGTGCTTGGTAAATGTTGGCTGTTGCTACATAGTTACTGCTATTAACACCCACCCAGAATCTGTTCCCTTAGCTTTGGAAATTCAGACATTTACACTTATCATGGGGTGATCCAACTCATATGAAACTGTTTTACATTAGCCAATTCCACAAGAGGCCAGGAAACCAGTTTATTTGGAACAGGATGGAGTTTTCCAGTGCTTCATACACATTTGCTATCCAAGGCATGCCCTGCTCAAGAGCAAAATACCTGAGATGCTGTTCTGTGCATATAGAGCCAAGGTAAAGGGAGGGGCTGGGGCTCTGGGATGGAAGACATTTCCACATCTTGATGAACAGGGATCCCTGATTCATCGCAGAACCGTAGTGATTGGCATCAGAGTGACCACAGCCATCGCTCAGGACATATCACTTCCTTCCCATACGTGGGGATGGTGTCTGCCTGGTCTGACTCACAAAGCAGTTACTCAATACGTATTTGTGAAATAAGTGGATTCCTTGGGCAAGGCAGGTTTGCCGTCATCAAATTCTTGTTCTTTTTCTCTCCCTTTCTAGATTCCAGGCAAACTGCCCCCCTTCTCCTTCAGACAGGATACTACTCACTGGATCACAGCTTTGCTTATATTAGTTGTGTTTTATTCTCCTGGATGAAGACCCCTTGATAAATTGTGGGAAATGCCTCCTTGTCATCAGTAACGTGTCTCTGCACCTTCTAGCTGTGCCGTCCCCACTTCCCACACATTCTCTAGGTACCTGGCCGTCCACCACGATGTTCTCTCCACCGCCCAGAGCACTGGCAGCTCTATCCCTCTGGACATATCTTCCTCGGGAAAGTGATTATCTTTTGCGTAGGTTTGTTTTTTCTTAGTTGTCCCCCGACTCCCCCATTTCATGAAATTTCAGTTCCCTTTCCCCCAAAATTTTAAGAAATCAGAAAGGAAAGGATTCAAAATCCCAGTCAAGAGTTGCTTTCTTTCTTGACCACCCCTATGGGAATCCTGTGACTTATCTCCATAACTGTCCAATTGGCTTTAGAGATGCCCCCCACCCCGTCCCCGTTCCCCTCAAAACACTGGATTCTCTTCCAACAAAACACTCACCCTGGTTATTTCCATGAGAGGTTTCAGGGTGGCAGGAATAGCAAGGCTTTCTTGGAGAGCCTGGCCGATCTTACGTGGATTCCTCGAGGAAGTTTCATGAGGGTGGTGCTCGGTAGTTGATTCTACCCTCTATGTCCTTCCCTATAATATTCCCACTGGTTGTAATCTGGCCTGTCTGTTCTTAGAAGCCAGATATTCAGATAAGGCAATGGAATTTAAAGCACAGGTTCACTGCTCCTCTTGGGATGTCTTTAGCATACTTGATAATGTTAGGCATACCTGTGTCAGAAATGCATATAGTGCAAATCCTGCATCTAGCACAGTGCCAAGCTCTCAGGAGATGCTGAATTACCATTTGGGGAATTAATTAATGAATCCTATTCTAATGCACTGTGACATTTTCATTCTTAAAGAATATTATGATATTTAATGTAAATGACTTTGTATTTTGTATTTTTAATACATTTTACTAACTGAATAAGCCAATGTTGGGGTTTACATTTCCATATGTGTAGGTCATTAAGTCCTCAATTTTGTACCTTTGAAAACCATTACCAAAATTATTTTCCTAACTCCACTTGAAGAAAAATCCAGTCTTGACGTAAATAGCATCAAAGCATGCTACTGTAATGCTTAAGCAAGTTGATCCCAGAGTCTATAGTATTAGTGTGTTTTGATATTTTTAGTTTACAGACAGATAATTACACATATGCATACACACAAATCTATGCACATATATAAAACAATATTTGGACTGTAAATGACATTTCAGTTACCAAGAGTTGACCATATCATTGAATATTTTTAAATAGGCCAGGACTTAGAATAACTTTCATATGTTTCCAAAGTAAGTGATCTGGAGTTCCCCAAAGACTGATTGGGAGTTTTGTAAAGGACTTTTTATGCCTCTAAAAAATGTTTGTTTTCATGTGAAAGGAGCTTAAGGGGAGGTTGACCTTTACTTTCAAGTTCAACCTTTGGCCTTTTGGTGGCAGAATCTTGAGAAAAGCCTGAGGTTTAGAGTCAGACCCATTTTTGGATCTGAGTTCTGGCATATTCTGAGGATAATAGTGTATAATTTAAGGAGTTGTGATCATTAAATGAGGTAACTGACATTCCCAGCATGAGGTGGGGGGTGGGAATGGGAGAGAAGTGGTGTCCTTCCTACTTGGCTAGACCCGTCACACCCAGGTTTGGGGTCTTTGTAATTCCCTGAATCAGAGTTACTCATCGGCTGCTCATTTCAGAGGCCAGAGAGAGACCAGGAGCCTCTCACCTCCGCTCAGCCGGGATTCTGCCTTATTCACCACGTCCTGGCTTAGCCTTCTTAGGCTCGACTACTTTTTAAAAATGTGCTTTTCTATATCAAATGTGATTTTGGAGCTCGTATGCCTGCGTAACGGATAGGCTTCCCTCACGAAGGCTCTGACCGAGCTGCGCTTTATTCAGTGCTCGGTAGATGACTTCAGTGCGACAACTCTTAGCAACTCAGGAAGATTTCAGGGCCTCTGAAACTGCCAAGAGTTTTGGGAAATCACAGGGAAATTCGCTGCATGATTAATCCTGGGTGGGTTGGTCCCGGAAAGGCACATGCGGGTGTGCAGCAAGCAGCAGCCTGCAGAATTTTACAAAATAAACTGTCTCACGGAGAGGCTCTGAAGTCCGTGTTTTGGATGAGGGCTCAGAAGGAGGGTGGGGCCTGACAAATGAGGAAAAGGCCAGATGTGGGGGCAACAGAGCCCCTCTGAATCCACTACCTTCCAAAGAGGGGATCAGATTATAACACAAGAGGCAGCCCAGTGGGGAGCAGGATTCTAGGATGTGGATAACAGTTCATGTCCGTAATGAACCCAGCCCAGCTCCCCAAAAAGAGCCAGCAAAGCTCAGCTCAATGAAGTTATTCATCCACATTCAAGCCTCCTCTCTCATTATCCTCAGACAAAAACCCTCCTGGGCCTTAGCTCCTTGCCAGTGGCTCAGCCACTCAGCCTCTGCACACGGCCAGCCTCCTACCCCACACAGGCCCGGGGAGGCTCTGTCTTTAGCAGTGAGGTGGCTGGTTTTGTTTTTTTTTTTTCCAAACAAGGTTTACAGCTTCCTTTTAGGAATACCTTTGACATTCAGGTACTGGCTTAAAGATAATTACAGCTAACCCCTCCTTGGGAGACAACATAGGATGCATTCCTCTGGTCCCAACCCTAGCAGAGCTAGGATGGGACCCCGTCTGCGGGCCTCCTACACCTTGTCTCGGTGTCATCCGCACTCTGACTCGCCAAAAAGGAAGTGTGACTGAAATGCAGAGCTATCTATACTCCAGTGGAAAGAGAAGTTCCAAAGATAGCCCACGGCCCTACACGAGAGTTGCTCCGTCTCTCAGAAGTAGACAGTCCCACAGGGCAGTACACCCTCTATCATTTCACCAGGGCTGGGTATCGTCTTTGTGTGGAATTGTAGATGCCTGAGTCAGGTCCACTCTCCCCTCAAACCACTCCCTCCAAGAAGGCCTCTGGCACTAGGCCTACCTTGACCCTCAATTTGGAAAAAATGTAAGGGTTTACCTTTCAGCATTCACCAGCTCTGACGACCACAAGTTAGCTTACAATTCCTTCAGCCAATATTTAGTGAGCAACTACTATGTGCCAGATACTGTTTGGGCCCTGAGGATACCAACCCCTCACACTGGACAGAAAAAGGCAAGAGGAGAAGAAGCCGGAAGGGTAAAAAGAGGGGAAGGAGGGGAAGATGCAGATGGAGGGCAGACAGTGCCCCCAGCATCCGATCCACTACGGCTGAAGTCTAAGGAGTCACTGCCTTTGGTGGCCAAGTTCAACACACGGCCCCAAACCACCTTAAACCTGAAGGCACCCAGCCCACCTCCGTGCCCCGACACTGCTAGGAGCCCTCTGCGCCGGTCCTGTACACACACACTATCCTCTCTACAGCGGACAGACAAAGCCTCTTCCAGCCGATCCCACTGACGGTGTCCCGAGTGTGTCCAGTATATGGTGCACAGGGTGGAGACCTGGCAGCCCCAGAGGAACACCCGGTACACAGGGGAGCCCGCCCCACCCAGCACTCCTGGGTATCCCTCCTGATTCCACAGAGCCCGTTTGTTCTGAGGCCATGGACATTCTTCCAACACACAGCCCCGCAGGAGAGCCTAGGCCCACCAGAGCATCTCCTTACTGCCATCCTTATGCCCTATCTCTTGTGGGCCAAATGGGGTGGCAGGAGGCGGGCTGCCCCAGAGGGAGGCCCCCGCTGCTCCCCAGCCTTGCCACCTGTGGATCGGAGGCTCCTCCTCGCAACCTGCTCATCTGTTTCTTTGGGATCCGGCACCAGCTGTTTCTTTGGGCCCCACGTCCCCACGTCTCCTTCTGCCGGGTTCTGCAGACAGACACACACACACTCCCAGCTCCCAGGCAACCTCAAGTGCCTGGCCCAGGCATTCCATTCCAGCAAGTCCCGGCTCGCTCGCCCTCTCCAGCAGTTGCAGGGAGCCACTCGCGCTGTGTCTTACCTCCTTCTGCCAGGACCCAGAGGGAAGTGCTTCCCCAAACCAAGAGCAACACCGGCACCTTCCACATCTTCACTGGTGATTTGTTCTCTCTGGGGCCCCCCGAGCAGCTGGTTTCTGTGCTGAGGAAAGGTTCAAAAACTGCAGCCACAGGCCCTCGCCCTGCAGAGCCCGAGAATGGAATGAAGGGAACAAAGCCCCAGCACCCGAGGGGTCCCCAAACTTCCTTTGCCTGAAGCAGCCGGAGGAACAAACTTTCCAGTTGGCAACTTTGAGAGCAGTGTCAGCATTTATCGCTCCCGATGAGGGCGGGGAGCGGTCCGCTGTAAGGTGGTCCCGGTCCGGGGGCTCACTAGGACCGCCCTCGGCCTCTGTTTGGCTAGCGCGCAAATGATGACCTCAGGCCAGGTTTAAAGTTACAGGGCTGCAGCTGCGGGCCTCCGGGACATGCGGAGAGCCTTGAGCGCTGGCAAAATTGGTTTGTATTCTGTTTCCCCCATGGAGGGAAAAGGGGTGCATGCAATAAGCAATTTTTTAAAACTGTTTTACTTTATTTGTTACTCTGTTTTCTGAGAGGAAGGTGCAAGCCTAAGATTTTCTTGTTATGAGAAGTAAACAGTCCCTTGGGTGGCCAGTAATTTTAGAATCACACATGGGATTGTTCTGGCAAATATTTAATTTGTTGGCTTTAAAAAAAAAAGTGGTCCTCCTCATCTGGGGCAAGATTGTACCCTTGTCCAGGGGACCCTAGAGGGTGGGCCTTGGGGGCTGCCCGAGGGAGTTGGCAGGGAGCTTGGCAGCCTCCGTGGCTTTGACAGTTTGGGGGAAAAGGCTGAGCTTGCGATCTGCCTCTCCTGACTGGACGCAGCACTGAGAGGCTGGGGCTGCACAATTATGAGGTGCTGCACCCCCAGGATGTCAAAGGACCCCTGGTCACCAAGCCTGTGTCCATCCACCCAGGGCTCATCCCCTTTTAACCTGGAGTTTGGCCCCATAATCCCCACTTCACTGGGTTAAGCAATCGTGCCCTGATCTCAGGTACCAGATGTTAGCAACAGGAAAACTTATATTTTTTGCTTCATTTCCTTCTGAACTGCTGGAATTAAAAAATAAAAGAATACATTTTTAAGAAGAGGAGTTGCAGTGCCCACGCCCAGATGCCATAAATTCCATTCATTCAACAGGACCTGAAGACTAATGCCCGAAAGCTCCCAGCTAGGGTGAAATGGCTTGTTTTCAGATCCTTACCCTAGACCTGATTCCTACTTTACTCATCACAGCAGTCAGGGGGAGATGGCTTTAAAAGCTCAAATTCATGGCTTCTACCCCCAGCTCAATAAGTCCTTTGGAAATTCATATTTTAAGCCAACTCCAGGAGACCTTTTTTAGTAAACTGCCCTTGGGTGGGTTCTCAAACAGCAGAGCAGAGCCTGTGAATCACTGGGGGCGCCCTTGACAGATGTGCAGCATCTGTGGGTCTGGGATGGGCACATCCTGCATTTCCAAAGATCTCCCAGGTGACGTCTTGTCCTATGGCTACAAAGTAGGATCTGATGCCTGACCTAACGCCAAGGGGTTGAAACTAGAAAGGAGAAACAGGACAGAGAAGATAATCTGAACTGACTTCCTTTTCTTGCCAGTACATTTGATTATTATTACTGCATCATCACTAATGTTTGTTGACAGACTGAACAGTAACAACATCGTCTGTTGAGCTTGCTAGATGGAAAAAGAGATGCAAATTTACTCCAATGTAAAAAAAAGAAAAAGACCGTCTTCACTTGGAAACAGAGTGAAGGAAACCTGGGTGGGGGAGAATGGGTTAAACGCAGCAGATTTAGAGGGGTGCTTGGAGTAGGTTATTGTTCAAGGAGAAGCTCCTCTCTACCCCTCCCACAGCCCCTGCCCCCAGCTACAATGTTGTCTACCTGAGCTGGTGGAGGATGGAGGAGGGAGAGGAAATGGAGTTGCATCCTGTTGGAGCCCATCCTGGGGAAGGGGAGAGGGGCGGTACCAGGGGAGTCTATGGACAGGGTTCAGGGGCAGTTGGCTTAAGTATCTGGGGGCAGTGACTGGGGACATTCCTCAACAATGCAAACAGCAGAGGCTATGCAATGCTGTCCCTGGGGCGCAGGATTTGGAGCCATGGTGCACCCGAGTGACTCAGGGTTAGCCTAAAGGACAGCCGTGACGCACAGGGGATTTGGAAACCTGAGACGGGCCCAGATGCAGCAAGAAGGAAACAGGTAGGGTACGTGCCAGAGTGCCAGAAGGGTCCTCTCTCCTGGAGCGGCCTGTCCTCTTAACCCAGTGACTGGTAAGGTAACAGTGACATGTGCCCTGTAGCCAGGAACTCCAGCACTATCTCATTTAATCCTCAAACAACCCCTGGATTAAGAACACTGATAATACCCGTTATGTACATAAGGCAACAGGTTTCCAAAGCAGTGTGATTTCCAAAGCAAGTGTGTATCAGATTTGCCTGGAGGGTTGGCAGGTTCAGATTAAGACATTGGTCTGGGCCTGGCTCGCTCCTGAGTTGCTGATTCCAGAGGTCAGAAGTGCGGCCTACTAATTTGCATTTCTAACAAGCTCCCAGGTGATGCAGCTCATGCCCGCTTTCTCCTGGGTTAGAGACCGCACAAACCGTCTAGGATGGTCCAGGACCGAGGGGTGGGGCCACCGTCCTCCTGCTGCAGGACTTGAGCCTGTTGGCTGTGCTATGTTGTGTTTAAGGACCCAGAAGGAGAAGTCTGCAAGCTGCATTTTAGGGAGCGGGAGGCGCCCCACCCCGGAAGCAGGGGACCAGGCTGCAGATGGAGTACCTTCCACCCTGAGGGGTGCTGGTGAGTGACTGTTAGGATCTCACCTGCTGATCCTTCTCGGAGCCTCAGCACCTCCTGGCTTCCTGGGAAGACTTCTCAGCGTCTTCTCTTTTTGCAACACACGCTACTCCAGAGCTGATAACCACCAGATTCAATCTCCAACTCAAAGGCACCTCCGTGATGCAGGGTAAAATAGTGCACTTAGGTGAGTTGGCCCCAATGTATTTAGCAGGACCGGGAATGAGGCAGGAAGAGGGGGCAGTAGGTAGGGGGTGATGATGGGATTGAAGGAACCCACCGCAGCTTGGTTTGCTGGAAAGAGCCTCAGAGTTTTGGAATCAAAATTCAGCTCCATGGTGGCCTCGAGTAATCCCAGCCTCAGTTTCTGCTTCTCTGAAATGGGCATGTTCTTTCTTCTTTGGAGGGCTCTATGCACATGAGGAGTAGACCTATGATCGCCGTGATGGTTGTTTCCACCAGGCACCACCTGGTTCTTAGCCTCTTGAGTCCTCTGGTACCCACCTGTGCCCACCTGAACACTCAGCAAGCCCCAGCCCCTAGGGCAGAGGTTCTTGACATGGGTCCAATAGAACTGGTTCCTTTAGACCTTAGGAACCCAGCAGGACCAGCACACCACGTGGAGCTCACTATTCCACTAGGCGTCAACTGATCCTCTACGAGGTCCACCCCTCACCTTGGGCCTTATTCCTAAGAGCCCTCTTGGACCTCTGTCCAGCTCCCTGGGCCCAAAAGCCCCTCTGGGAAGCTGCATTATCTCCCAGTTCCACCCTGGAACTAGCGTTGTGCACAGGGATCCTTTGTGGAGACTGGCTCCTGCCATTCCACATGGGGGACCTGGTTTGGATTTCTGACCCCTGGCCTGCCTGTTTGCCGGAGCACCCTGTGGCTTCCCCAGGGGTGTCTCCATTGCTGACTGCCCCCTCCTGTTATCAGAGTCAAATTCATGCCCTATTTCAGTGGGCTGCACAGTTTTGTTTGTGGACACCCTTAAGGAATTTTGAAAAACTGGGTACTAATTTATTTTCATCATAGAATTAAAATAATATATTTTCAATGGTAGGTATAACATTAAACACTTTGCAAAAATAAATAAAATAAAGACTGGTTATAACTGGGAAAGATAATTCATGATACAATTTGATAACATTGACTAAGTACACTGACCATAAAAAAATTACGTAAAATTTTTATCCATGAATGTGAATCCATACATCTTGACATTTTTTATAAAAGATCTGGAAAACTTTCTAGTTACACTTAAAAGAGTCAGCATCACTAACATGTTCTCTTTTTTAAACGATGTGCATTTATTAATGTTTTCATTATAAAATATACATTCATTAAAGAAACGTGGAAAATAGGAAAATAGAAAATTATCATATGCCAGCGTGTTTGCAACTTTTCCTCTTGACATAATTTCAAATTGGCAGAAGTGTTGGAAGAATAGTTCAAAGCACCCCCATACACCCTTTATCCTGACTCCCCAGTTTGTTTATATTTTGCTCCATTTGCATCATCGTTCTCTGTATTTGCATACAATGTGTACTGGTTTGGAATCCCTTGAGAAGTGTGGAGATGCTATGCCCTGAGACCCTGCACCCTTAGGTGTCAAATATCCTAAAAGACATTCTCTGCCGTAGCTGCAAGAGGCATAGAGAATCACAAAACTTGATGTTAAAACAAGACTATTGTCTAACCCACAGTCCATATTCCAATGTTGAATATTGTCCCAATGATGTCCTTTACAGATGTTTTTTACCCCAGAATCGAATTCAGCACCACACATTGCTCTTCGCCAGCGTGTCTGCAGATGCCGGAACTCACCTTCAGCCTTGGTCTTCCATGAACTTGATGCTTGCTGAAGACCACAGGCTAGTTATTTTTAGAGTACCGTTCAGCCTGGGTTTGTCTGCTCTCTCCTCTGGATTAGATTCAGTTTATGTATTTTTGGCTGGACAACACAAGGGATGCTGTGCTTTCTCAGAGCATCTCCTGGGTAGGCCCAGTTTCTAATGCCCAGAGTGTCAACTTCCATCCCTCCGCTAAGGTGTGCTGCTCCAGAATTAGGACCCCCCCAGCACGGCCAGACTCACTCTAATACTGTGTATGCACAAAGGGAAAAACCAGTGTTTACTTGGCTACTTGGCACCCTGGGGCTAACGAGATTTTTTTTTTTCATCTCAGAAAATATTTCATAATAAGATTTGGGTTGAATAAGGAGCTGCATTTCTTTTGTAAATGGGAGAAGAGTTACTGGGAAGGTGTTTCCTTCTCCCACTGTTTTCAGAGGAAGGCTTCTGAAGATTTGAGACATTCTGAAGATTTGAGACATGCACCCCCAGATCGAAGACTCCTGCCCTGTCCACCTGCCTGGCTGGATCTCCTCCCAGCATTGGGGCCATCTCACCCCATCCCACTAGAGCTAAAGGACTGAGCCCAGTGTGTTCCCAGCTGTGGTGTCTCCCTGCCTCCTCGGAAGATATGTGAGCTCCCTGAAGCCAAGGGTTTATTCATCTTTGTAACCCCCCTGCCTCTGACACATGCTCCGTAAATATCTATGAAAGGAAAGCTTGTGGTTTTATCTGGCCTGCTTGAAGAGCCTCCCCACAGAGAAGAGCCCTCCCCACCAATCTCCCCTGCTGCCCAGCCCAGCCCAGAGGCTGAGTCACTGGCACATGACATCCCACCAGCCAGCCTGACCGTGCAAACGCAAAGTACATGAGTGGCTTCTGAGATTTCTGTGACGCAACTCTCCAAATCTTGGCCCATGCCCCTCTCCCGTGCAATCTGGCTGGGGGCTAAAATCCCACAGATTCATCCCTTATCTTAAAGACTTGATCCCTTTTAGATGCAAGTGTACCTGAAAAGGATATACTTAGCTCTTCAGCTTGCAGAATTTGATGTGGAAGGGTTTCTCCCCCTTCCCCAAGGGTAGATTGTGATCAGGTGTCAAGGGGATTAGTTTCTTGGGTATTGTCAAGAAGGAGAAAGCGCACAAACTAGAAAGCTCTGGGAAGCTAAAGACACATTTACCCATTTCATCATGTTGTTTGGTCAAACAGCAGCTTGGGATTCATGCTGTGCTCCATTCACTATTGTAACCCATTGACTCATTCATTCAGGAGCCATTGCTGATGCTCACCGTGTCACTCAGGATGCAACAGCAGCTGTGACATCTGGGTTTGGCTGGAGCTGGCCATCCTCTATCTGACAGACATGACATGCTGTCAGCCCCCTGGTCAATAGGTCCACTTTCCCCCCTTGTCTGGTGGAGGAAGGTTGAGTCTTCATTGCCGAGGTGAGGCCCTGTGGCTGACTTGGGACAGGGAACAAGACATCGGGCTTTTGCTTGAAGCAATAAGGGAAACATTCAGCTCTGTGGATCAACAGGCTTCTGTGCAATTTGCCATCCTGGGGAAGCCTCGGGCCGCTCTGTTGGACACAGAGTGAGATCCGCAGACTCTAGAATGGAGAGCTCCTTCCTTGGCGGGGTGCGATGCCCCACTTTATAGACTCTAAATCTGGTGTGGACTCCACATTGCCCCAGAGAAATGCAAAAAGAACTCCCTCGGGGCACTGGTAATCTTTTCTCTCAACAATAAATCCCTTAGGTACACACTGTCCTTCTCCCTGGCCCCCAAAAGAAAAAGTTGGCTGAATGCACCCGTGGATTTGAAGTCAGGTATGCTGGATCATACAGGAGCACAGGGTCCCTGACTGCTTTAGTGGGTTGGGAACACAGTCAGTTTTGTGTTTGTTTGTTTGGTTTGGGTTTTTTGGTTTTTTTTGAGTCAACACTGAGCTTTTAATGGACAGACAGGCATGGGGGAGGTCGACGTTTTTTACAGTTCAGACTGATACACACAGAAAGCTCCTTTCATTGGTGAGTTCAGAGAGCCCTTCATTAGGAAGACTCGGCGCTGCTTAGCAAACAGTCTGAATGAATGAGGCCCAGTGTGGGGGGCTGGGATCCGGTGGGGACCAAGCTGGGAGACTGGTGTTTATCTTGCTGCTCTCTTGAAGGGGGTGGGCTCAAGGACGTCAATCCTGGCCTTTCTCTTCCTCAGTTTCTCTGGGTGGAAACTGGCCTTGTGAAAATGGTGGTGGTAAGGCCTCCCTCTGAACATCAGTGAAGAAGGCCGGCCCCCAGGCATGACCAAGTGCCGAAGGCTTGAGCGACTTCATCCCGCGTTCCGCCAGCTCTGGCCCACATGCTGAGGGTGATGACAGCAAACCTCGGCCACAGCCCTGGTGCCATCCCAGCTTGGAATTCCCTGCCCAGGGCAGACGGCGCCTTCCCCGGAGATGAGGCCAAGACACCGGCAGGATGAGCCCTGCCCGGCCTCCCTCCACCAGGCACAATCCCTTTGATAGAGTCTGGATTTGTTAGTATTTTGGAATCTCTTGTGAGGTCCCAAATCTGTTTAAATCACTGTTCGGGAATCTAATTCAAAAACTTAGATTTCAGTGTCTGCCAAGAGGTGGGTTTGGCCATGATAGCAAAGCAGGAAATGGCTTAAAAGTTAATCAAGCTGGAAGAAAACAGCTTTAGTGTTAGCAGTCCAATATCCAGAGCTACCCCTCGCCTCCATCCCCGTCTACCTTCAGGGAAGGCAAGGACTCTTCTTGCATCGGAGCAGCGAGTTTGAGGGTTTCTGGGCATGGGCCAGAGGCACAGAGCAGTTTCTGGAGATTATATTGGAGAGATTTAACTGTTTTCCTTAGCAGAGCCAGAAAACCTGCTCACTTTCTTATTAGTGGCACGAACAGCAGGGAGCTACACTGTGGATTACTTATTTTTTCATTCAACAACCATCTACTGAACATCCCACCATGTGCCAGGCAGTGTCCTGGGCTCTCGGGGCACGGCAGGGAACACGGCATCCGGGCAGCTGCTTCTGAGCCTCTTACATTCTGTGAGAAGACAGATAATAGGTACAAAAATAAAGGAAGTATGTAGAGATGGTGCTGCTAAAAAAAGAGTAGCAACTTCTTCCAAGTGGGATTGCACACCACCAAGGGGACCTTGACCCTCCGAGGGGACACACACAGGCGCGGAAGTTTAAAGGGCATCAGTTCTCAAATTTTCGAGTAACCCATGTTCTCTTTGCTCATATAGGTCTACCTCTCCTTTCACAATTGTTTTCCTCCCACTTTGCTGTAGAAAGACAAACCTCTTAGTCACCCTTAATCCCACAATGGCACATTGCCTAAGGGATGCAAAAACCCTCCAGGACAAATAACGTTTGATGTGGACACAGCCTTCTTTAAGCAAAGCCTGCAGGAGAAACTGCCTTGTCACAGGGATATTCCTGTTAAGTATGAAATCGAGCTTTAGAATTGGGATATTTTAACCCGCACCCGCATTGGGTTATTCAGAATTCGGGTGGCAAGAGAGATAGCAATTAACTGATGACCTGACCCCTTCCATCCCCAGGCTCTTGACCCAGGCACATGGCTCCGAGGGAGAGCCCTGGGAGGCCAGGCCCAGAGGAAACGGAAAGAAACAGAGGCTGCAGCCCCTGGTTTCAAACAGGAGGCCAATGCGTGGTCCAGGTCCCCGCTGTAGCCATATACCCTTGTTAGAATTAGAATTCAGAAGAACCAGAATTCTCAAGAAAGTGTACAGTAACATGTCATTTTGAACCAAAACAAAAGTTAGACTCTCGACGGAACCAGAGTCTGAGTTGGTTAATTAATCTGATAATGAACACTGGCTTTGACGAGTAGGTTTCATGGCAGAGATTTCCCTGAGCAATATTCAAGTCTCTATAGGTGTTTGTGAAAATGAGTATAAAGCGTGTCATAGGATAAAATCAGTTTACTTAAATACATCAGCAAAAGTGTCTCAAAATGAGAAATGTTTTTATTTTTCCAACTGTTTTTTGAGTATAACCAATTAAAGGGCCTCCAAGTTGAAGAATAACAGGCCAAATCAGTAGTCATTTAATAGATGTTCGTAAATATGTTTTTTGGTGCGCTTTCCAGAAACTGAAAATGGCTCCAATGACTCAATGGCATATATTTTTGCCAACCACTGTCATCAGAATTATGGTTCTTAAATCCTGACAACTCCCAGATTTATGTCTTTGGCCAGATCTCTGCCGAAGCTCCAGATTCGGGTACTCAGCTGCCTGCTGGGCTGCTCTCTCCTAGGGAGGAAGTGATGAATGTTTCTGAGAAGGAAGAGGAAAGGAGACACTGGGGAGGGCGGAGGGGGCAGAACAGATGCTGCCTGGGTGTCCTGGGGCTCTGTCCAAGGTCTGGTGTGATGGGAAGAAGACAGAAACCCCAGATAGGTTGAGGGCCCGTTCTAAGAACATATGGGCTGACCTTCTGCTTCCAGAAACATCCAACATGGTGAGGAGGAAGAAGTGCAGCACAGTGGAGGGAGGTCCGTATAGGTTCTGAAATGGCTCTGCTGGCTCCCCACAGTGGGAAATCCCTCATGTCCCCCTGGGGGAAACAGATGCTAAGAGGACCAGTGGTCCTGACAGAAGCCTGGCTCAGGACAAGGAGACCTCAAGAGCAGTGACCTTATGACCAGAGCAAATAGCAAAGCTGAGAATCAGCAGCAACAGCAGATGTCAGCTCATGGCTTAAGAGCAGGCAGGCCCAGTGACATCACCAGCCATTTCAGCAAGGACAGAGGCCAATGCCCACGGGCAAGCCAGAGCACCCCCACCATGTTTAATAACCATAGCCTCTCACCACTGTGCCCATGAGACGTGAAAACTTCCCCTGCACCCAGGCATCATTTAGGGAGAGAAATCTGAGAAACTGAGCATTTCCCAGAAAGAAAGAATGGATGTTATGGGACTGTTATAAGCCAGAAGAGATCAAGTTGGTGATAACTAGAGTGTTTAAGTTCCTCTAATACCCACATCTCGATCAAAGTGAGAATGTCTTCAAAAAAATGAAGAAAACTTCCTTCTCTTTCTTACCTCCAAAGAAGTGTTTAATTTTTTCCTTCGGCTACAAAGTGTTTTCCATTACATTAAGTACTGATGAATTGCAGTGAGAAAGTTATTCTTTTCAATGGTCTTGTAGAAAAAAATATTTAATAATTGACACATGCAAAGACTGTATAATAAATTATAAAGCACCATAGTAAAATGAACACCTGTGAATTCACCAAATAACTTAAGAAAAAAATACTACCGATGCTATAGGAATTTCCCCCCCAAGATTCTCTCTGCCAGCCTCCAGAACTAACACCATCACAGATTTTGTATTTATCTTCCTCTTGATTTTCTTAAAATTGGTTTACCACATATGTGCGTATATATTTAATCAATGATTCGTTTATTTGCTTGTTTTCAAACTGAAGAAGTTTTCTGGAATTTGCTTCTTTTTTCATTCAAAATAAGTCGCTAATATTCATCTCTGTTGTTGCACATAATGTAGGCCATCCATTTTCACTGCTGTGTAATATTCCATTGTGTGGAACTACCGGAGTTTATTTTACATCTCCTGCTGATAGACATTAGGGTTGGATTTTTAGTTTTTTGCTGTTATGAGCAGTGCTGCTATGAACATTCATGTTCAAGTCCCTTGGTGA